CCGCTGTGAAGTATATACGGATCACAAGAGTCTGAAGTATATCTTCACCCAACCGGATCTAAATCTCCGACGACATGAGCATTCACTATCATCCGGGCAAAGCCAATGTGGTGGCAGATGCATTAAGCAGGAAGAGCTACTGCAATGCTGCATGCACCGAAGGCATGTGTAAGGAATTGCAGCAGGAGCTTGAACACCTCAACTTGGGGCTTGTAGAATATGGGTACGTGGCTGCCCTAGAAGCACGACCCACGCTCACGGATCAAGTCAGAGCCGCTCAAGTAAATGATCCTGAAATAGCAGAGCTGAAAAAGAACATGAGGGTCGGAAGAGCCCGGGATTTCCACGAAGATGAACACGGCACAATCTGGTTGGGAGAAAGGTTGTGCGTACCGAATGACAAGGAATTAAAGGATCTGATACTCACCGAGGCTCATCAGACTCAGTACTCCATTCATCCAGGCAGCACCAAAATGTACCAAGACCTCAAAGAAAAGTTTTGGTGGGTCAGCATGAGAAGGGAAATAGCTGAATTCGTCGCACTCTGCGACGTTTGCCAACGAGTGAAGGCAGAGCACCAAAGGCCAGCAGGTTTGCTTCAGCCTCTTCAGATCCCAGAATGGAAATGGGAAGAGATTGGAATGGACTTTATAACAGGACTGCCCCGGACATCATCGGGTCACGATTCAATCTGGGTAGTCGTGGATCGACTCACTAAGGTTGCTCACTTCATACCAGTGCATACCACGTATACGGGAAAGAAATTGGCAGAGCTGTACCTGGCAAGGATCATGTGTCTGCATGGGGTACCTAAGAAGATTGTATCTGATCGAGGGAGTCAGTTCACCTCAAAATTCTGGCAGAAGCTGCAGGAAGAATTAGGGACCCGTTTGAATTTCAGCACAGCCTACCATCCGCAAACAGATGGCCAGACCGAGAGGGTCAATCAGATCTTGGAGGATATGCTGCGAGCTTGTGTGCTTGATTTTGGTGGAGCATGGGATAAAAGCCTGCCGTATGCGGAATTCTCGTACAACAACAGCTATCAGGCCAGTCTACAGATGGCACCGTTCGAAGCGTTGTATGGCCGGAAGTGTCGCACCCCTCTCTTCTGGGATCAAACAGGCGAACATCAACTGTTCGAAACAGAGGTGTTAACGGAAGCAAAAGAGAAAGTCAGAACTATCAGAGAAAGGTTGAGAATTGCCCAGTCTTGACAAAAGAGCTACGCAGACAACCGCCGCAGGGAACTCACTTTTGAAGCAGGGGATTACGTGTATCTTCGCGTTACTCCGCTCCGGGGAGTACACCGTTTCCAGACGAAAGGCAAGTTGGCACCACGCTTCGTGGGACCATACAAAATCTTGGAACGAATAGGAGAAGTGGCTTACCAGCTAGAACTTCCATCCAACATGCTCGGCATCCATGATGTGTTCCATGTGTCCCAGTTAAAGAAGTGCTTGAGGGTACCCGAAGAACAAGCCGATTCGGAGCATATTGACATCCAAGAAGATCTTACCTACGGGGAGAAGCCCGTTCGTATCCTTGAGACCAGTGAAAGGAGGACTAGGAATAAGGTCACCAGGTTCTGCAGGGTTCAGTGGAGCCACCACTCAGACGAAGAAGCAACCCGGGAAAGGGAAGATGAGCTAAAGGCCGCCCATCCGCACCTCTTCACCAGCTCTTCCGAATCTCGGGGCCGAGATTCCGTTTAAGGGGGGTAGGTTTGTCACACCCTGAAGTTCTTTCCCAAGCCTAAATTGAATTTATAATCCACCAGAGAAAATATCGGTGTAAAAGCAAGAGAAAACCCTAATAAATTAATGCAAATAATAATCGGACTTGGCATGTGGAATTTTTCTGGAGTTCTACATGTCGAAATACGCTAACAAGATTTTTAGTGGAATTTTCAGAGCTCTAGAAATAATTTTAACCAATTAAAATTGAGCACAAGCAATATTTAATCCCTGGAAAATCCATTTTCCTTTTTCTTTCTTTTTTTTTCTCTTTTTCCTTCGAATGGGCCGCCGGCCCATTCTCCTTTTCCTCCCTTTTGCCTCTCTCCCTCTAATCCCTCCCTTTCGATTTCTTAGGTGATCCCGGAGCTAGTCCCGCTAACGTCGCCGCCCTCCGTCGCTCGCCGTCGTCGGTCGTCGTCGGTGAGGTCCCCTTCCCCTCCCTCTCTCTCTCCCGCGCCGCTAGCCGCCGCGTAGCGGCATAGCCGCCGCTTCGCCGCCCACGTCGCCGCGACGCCGCCGCTCTCCGCCGCCGGTCGGTCGCCACCGGTCGCCGTCTCGCGCCGCCGCCCGATCTACCCAAGGGTAGATCGGGGCCGTCGGTTCGGCTGCCGCGTGGCCGCCGCGTGGTCGCCGCGTGTGCGCCACGTCGGTGCTGCGTGTGCGCCACGTGGTACGCCGCTTCTTCCCGGTCCGTGGACCCGGTCCGCCGTGGACCGCCCTCCTCGGGTTACCGCCATGTGGGGCCCGCATGTCGGCGCCACCCCCTCTCTCTCCTCGGGATTTATTTATCGCGCAATAATTCAATTAAGGATTTTTTTGTTTATAGTAAAAACACAGTAAATCTTCTAAAATTCATAACTAATTCATCCGAGCCCCGTTTAAGCCCATTCAAGTCTCAGTAAATCAAGAAAAAGTGTAGAATCCATTAAAAATGGTTTTGTTCTCTGTTTCAGTAGTCTTATAGCTTTTGTATTGTTTGCTTTGTATGTCGCTTAGATTCCGGCTCTCCCGACGCTCCGGTTTACCTTGAAATAGTCGCCGAAGTTCCTCCTGCTGCAGAGCAAGGCAAGTCATGCTTGTCACTTGAACATGTTGATCCTATATTGCAAATGCTCTATTGTTTCCCTTCAAATTCTGCATTGTTTTATAATATTACTATGGGATGCGTACCTACTGTCATAGCCATGCCATCTTGTACCATGTTCCTTTGTTAACTTGGGATGTAACATGACTAGAGATTGGACTAGGGAATGTTTAGCTTTGCTTAGTTCAACTAGCACACAATGAGGGACTACATTAATCAGATTCTAGTTATGATGTTGGTTAATGCTCACCGCTCCGGTGTTGGTTAATTAAAATATATTAAATGGTGGGCCGTGGGTACATGGTTTTGATGGTCGCGCCCATGGCAATTAAGGACCGATTTGCGGGAAACCCTGGGAGAATTCCTCGTACTTACCACAAGCCAGCGTGGGCAACGGCTGGGCTTGTAGTGTAGCTTTCCTCTAGCCGACGCATCCAGGCAAGGGTGGGCGTGATGGAGTTTGAATGGGCCCTGTGACGGCCTATGCGGCTTCCGGATTCACCTAGGCACGAGAGGGGACTGCCCGTTGCCTTGCGAGGAGTGGGGGTGAAACCTGAGGTGTGGTGTGCTTGGTTAGAGGGGGTTATGCGAAGGGTCATGTCACGGCCTCTTTCCGGTATGTCGTGGTGGCATGTCGGCGCACAGAAATGTGTCGTGGGGCTGTGTCTTGTGAGTACAGTTGTACACCTCTAGTCAGAGTAAAACTATTCGAATAACCGTGCCCGCAGTTATGGGCGGTCAACCAGATTCACCGTGATTAGACTCACTCTAGATTAGTCTAATGGAATTGAATAATATAGGTGGATGGTTGGGCCTGTTGCAACGTGGTTTAGCGTTGGACAGTGGATGGCTAATATTGTTTAATTATTACAACTGTTTTACTGCTTTCAACTTCTGTTTATAAATGCTCGCTTTATACAAATGAACCATTATAGCTATCCCTTGATAATTCCCTGCATCATACCCCCATTCCGGTATGACTTGCAGATTACAGTGGATAGTACTCAGCCTTGCTCTATTTTCCCCAAACCCCAGAATTCGAGTATGCGTCAGATGGTGGTTTCTCCGAGGAGTAGGCTCGTCCGTGCCGTCGAGGATGCCTGTGGAGTGGTGTTCCCGCTGCAGACCAAGTCAAGGCTTAGCTCCAGTTATCCTTTAAGTTTTCGCTGCATTTATGTAAGACTTTTATAATATTTGTAAGACGTGGATCTGTATGTCAACTTTGTCGTTTGTGTACCCCGGCCGGTCCTGGACGGGGATTTTAATGCACATTCTGCTTGGAATTCTATTTGGGAATTTCTAGGCGTGACACCGTGCAGCGGCAGCAACGCGGACACGGCCATGCGGTGGCGATGTGGCCGGCATGTGGGCACACGGCGGCGGCGCGGCCAGGACGCGGGCATGGCCGGCCGTCCCGGCCGTGCGGTGGCATGGCTGGTGGCGACCACGCGCGGCCGGATGGCGGCGGCACGGCTCGGTCGACCGGCGGGGCTCGGCCTTGCGGCGGCGATTCGCAGGCGCGGTCGGCCGGCGGGGCTCGGCCGTGCGTCGGCGAGGTGCAGATGTGGTCGACGGCGGTCTTGCGCGGTGGTGTCGCAGCCATGCATAGGTGCGATGTCATCAGCGCAGTCTCCCCCGTTCCCCTTTTCATTTTTGTTTTCCTTTTTTTTTCGATTTCTTCTTTCCTTTCATTCATCGTTCCTCCTCTACCCGACAATGGCGCGGCGGCACCTCGGTCAGGCAGCGCGGCTAGTGCTGCGGCCGGAGGTGGCTCGCGGCGACGCCGTGCAGCGGCTATGCGGGCGGCGTGCGACGGCGCCGTGCGGGGACGCGGCCAGCGACGGCGAGCGACGGCGCCGTGCGGGGCGCGGCGGTAGTGGAGGTCATGCGGCGCGCGGGCACGGCTTCGAGTGCGGGTGTGGCTAGGGCGCGGTAGCCATGTAGCGCGCGCGGCGGTGCCGTCCGGAGCACGGCCGGTGGAGGCTCGCGGCAGTGCGCGTGGTGGCCTGGGATGGCTGCTCACGGCGCGACGCCGTGCGGCGGCGTGGCCAGCGGCAGTCGTCGTTCACGGCGTGGTTGTGCGGTCCGGTGCCGTGGTGCAGCCATGTATGGCGCGGACGGTCAGTGGCCGGTGATGGAACTCCGTCAATCGGCATTCGCCGGCGACTCCGAGTCGGCGGTGACGGAATCCATTGAAAACCACAAAAACGGAACAAGGAGGATGCAAGGAATTCGTTTTTGCAATTCGATCTACAAGATGCAAAGTGGATTCTCGAGTTTCTTACCCTTCTTCTCGGTGTCCGGTAGAACGTCGTGCTGATAACGTATTACGCAACCCGCCTGCTACGCGAAGTAGTCCAAGAGGGTCCCGTAATTCTACAAGAATAGAGACACAAGATATAGGGGTGAGACTCTCTTCTTATTCCTCGATTCATTCTCCTCAACCACAAGTGTACAATATGAGCACCCCTCTCCTCCTTATATAGTCTTCCTCCATATATGGAAGGTTTCGGTGTGGGTCCAATTAGTATATATGGGCTGGGTCTTCATGGGCCCAAGCCCATAGGTTTCCTAACAGAAACAAAAACACGTGTGCACACAGATACAGCATAGTACTACTATGCTCACTTTTCACTGGCGCACGAAAACCATCCCAACGGACGCACGGAGCAGAGGGACTGAACGGTCGAGCAGCGCAGGAAGCCCCAACACTCACGGTCACGGGACCCACCCCAGCATGGTGCGTGCTATGGTGGGGCCACCCCCACAAACCGCCGAATCGAAGCGGCGCGGACTCTCTCTCTCTCTCCCCTCGTCTTCCAGAACGCTCTCCTCGTCTCCCGCCGCGACACCTCCCTTCCCTTCCCTTCCCTTCTTGTCCTCCTCCTCCTCCTCCTCGCCCACACACTTCACCTCCGCGCTTCCCGCCTCTCCGCATTCTCACCCCTCCGCCGCCTCCGCCGCGGTCGGGTGGTGTCCGTGAGAGACGAGCCGGAATAATGCTGTGCGTCTCGCCGACGACGCCGGGCCCGTGCGCGGCACGGCGCCCTCACCGTCCCTCGTGCACCGCCACGACGTGCATCGGTTCTCCGAGGCGGCGGTGGCGGCTGGCCAGGTTCCAGGACTCCGCCGCGGCGGCGCCCCCGGCGGGGCGGCTGACGAGGCCGCCGCCTCCGCCGCCGCCGTCGTCGTCGCAGCCGCTGCCGGTGCCGGCGCCGCGGACGACGGCGGAGAGGCTGGGCTCGCTGCGGGAGATGCGGCGGGTGTGGTGGGTGTGCGGGCTCGGGTACTGGGTGCAGGGGTTCCGCTGCTTCCCGTGGCTGGCGCTCAACTTCCACCTCACGCGCGGCCTCGGCCTCACCCCCGCCGCGCTCCAGCTCGTCCAGAACGCCGGCAACCTCCCCCTCGTCGCCAAGCCGCTCTTTGGGGTCCTCTCCGACGCCGTCTACGTCGGCCGCGCCCACCGCCTCCCCTATATCTCCATCGGAGGTATCCACCCATCCATCCTTCCATATTTTTTTCTTTTCGATTCATTCATCGTGACTGCTGTTTCTCTTTCGTCTCTCTTCGTTCATTTCTTTGTTTGTTTGTGGTTTCGACAATGTTGGTTGTAATGGGGAAGAATTATCAATCTACAGCACTGCGTTTTAATTACCTAATTTTGGAAGTATTTACTAATGAATGAATGAATTGAATCGAAACAATGGTGACAAATACAGTAAGGTTTTCTTAGGCCGAAATTTCTGGTACGACGACAAAATCTGCTGCTAGAACTACAATATAATAAGAATATATGCTTTCCTTTCGCGTTCAAGATACGTCATAATTCAATGTTTTCCACCATGTTCTGAGATAACAAGAATGAAGAGAAATTGAAGAGCCAAATAGTGAGGAGAAACACTGCTCCAGTCAGTACATATTGACAGTGACAATGAATTCATGTCTCTTTCTGAAAATTGGAAGTACTGTACCTAGGAATTCAGCATCACCAGCCGCTGTCCCACTTGCCTCTCTGGTGCTGGAAATGAAACATATCATCAGCAAATAATAATAAGTTTATTTTGTGGTTTTTGCTGTCTGGTTGATTTGACAACAGACTGACTAAACTGGATCTACTATATTGTTTGAAGAACTTCTACTGTAGTATTATTGATTATTCACTAAACGGAACATGGTTTGCTTGCTTGAACGGTCATGGAATCATGCTCCGTGCCTTTGCTTGCGGTTGCACCTGTTTTAGTGGAACTTACGTTTTGGAAAGCGCCATCTTGAGACTCGAAACACATGTTTTGGAATGTCATCTAGAGGGTGGAGCCGTGTGCTTTCCTGCTGCGTGTGGTGCTATTATTGCTAGTCACACATTTTGAACCTTTCCAAGACTTGGTTAATCCAAGAGTTTATCCTTTCTCTCTGGAACCTGATGCGTGATTTACTCATGGTGTAAATCACACGATCTGAGCTTTTCAAAGTGGGTATTCTTATATATCACCGGTCTTCTGGGTGCCTGTGAATACAAAGAAAGGTGCCTTCTTGTCCACTAATCTTAGAAAGCTGCCTTCCTTGGATTTACCTTGGCTCTCACATCAAGACCAATCAACTCATTTGGCTGTAGTTCGTCAAGATTTCCCGTTTGCCGTAATGATTGGGACAGGCTCTCTCAATGTATCGTCTAATTCTAACTTAAAAAAAAAACAATACCGATTTGTTTGTATTATTTACAATCATTTAGCTACTGCCCTTCAATGGTTTTCTTTGCCCGTGTAATGTTGATTGCGTCTTTCTAGGTTTAGTTTGCATAAGAAATAAACATCTCCAATAACTTCTATTCTAGAATTCGTTACATCTGGATTTTTTTTAGAAGTCCAAATTTCATGTTTGAATGCTAGGAAATTCAGAAAAAAATATTTGAATTTATATGCCTGTTGATTCTGTAGCTTAAATTAGTTGCTAACCATGTCCTGGATAAACTCATGGTAAATTGACTAATGCTAATGTTTTTGGCTATTTCAGCGTTACTACAGCTTATGGCATGGGGAACACTTGCAGTCATTCCAGTAACAGGGGACACATTTCCAACTCAAATGGCTTGCATTCTTATTGGAAATCTTGGCGCATCTGTCACTGAAGTTGTAAGTGATGCTGTTGTCACAGAGTTCAGTAGAACGCAGAAGGCCGGTGTACTACAATCTTACGCGTTCATAATTCTGGCAGCTGGATCTCTCTTAGGAAATTTGTCTGGTGGTTACGTTCTGTTGAGAACACAGGAACCAAAGACTATGTTCTCAGCATTCTCCATCCTCCTTGGCCTCCAACTAGCACTTTCCTTAAGTACAAAAGAGACGCTTCCAAGCTCTCATAGAAACTGGAACATTTGTCATGTCAGAACCTCTCTGTCTGACAATCTCCGCAAGCAATTCTCAAACTTGAGGACAGCAATCAGCGAGGAGCAGATCTTTTACCCTCTTATGTGGATAATGACATCATTTGCAGTTGTGCCTATTCTCTCTGGGACAATGTTTTGTTTTCAAACACAGTATCTGAAGCTTGATCCATCAGTCATCGGCCTATCAAAAGTTGTTGGGCAGGTGATGGTTCTATCTCTAACTGTCCTCTACAATAAGTATCTCAAAAAGATCCCTTTGAGGCGGCTTGTGGCTGGAGTTCAGACGATGTATGCTTTGGCAGTTCTATCAGACTTGGTCCTGGTGAAACAAGTGAACCTTATGTTGGGGATACCGAATGAGATCCATGTGCTTTGTTTCTCGGCTCTAGCAGAAGCAATTGCTCAATTCAAGGTCTTGCCATTCTCAGTTCTGTTGTCAAGCCAATGCCCACCTGGCTGTGAAGGTTCGCTTTTCGCTTTCTTCACATCTGGACTGGTGTTTTCAGCAATAGTAAGCGGAGTATTTGGAGTTGGGTTGTCCAGTTTAATTGGGGTGTCTGGTGGGGATTACACAAGCTTCCCTTTGTGTATTTTGCTGCAAAGTTTGGCAGCATTGGTACCTTTGGGATGGATATCCTTTCTACCTGAAAAATGGACTGCCGACGACAAGATTCTTAAACCAAGATGAGGCAACCCTGTAGGGTCAATAGGTAAACCACACAACCTCGAGATGTTAATAGGTAATGACAGTGTAGAGGGTTACATGTATAGATACGAAGATGTCATTTTTCTTTGGAATCAATAGTTCTAGTTCTAACGTTCCAGCTGAATATTGGCATCAAATTGTATTCTCTTGCTTCCAAGAGCATTGTGTTCAGCTTATCATGCCTGAAGAATGGGAAGAATACTTCAGGAAGAATGTGGTCTTGTTTCACAATGTAAATTTCAAATTAAAGATGAAAACTAAGAAAGATACATCTAAATTTAGTACAGGAAATAGCTCCCTGTTCCAAATGTGATGGTTAATTTGAACTATTAGAACATACATAGAAATAAATGGATGAGCTCTAACAGAACAATGAAAAAAAAAAAACAAGTGGCTACAGTGGAAATTGATGTGCTTTGATTTCATTTATATCAGGATTCACGGAAGAGTTAGTATTTGTTACTAAGAGTTAATGAAAACCATATAATACAACTGGGTCACAACTTATTATAGCTAATGTTCATCGACGTCGTTCTCCCTGAGACGCCGTCTTGGCAGCCCCTAGCCAAATCTTCTTTCTAGCAGTTGGTGCAGGCTTGTTCTAGATTCGTCCTCTTGCGGTGGCGCGCTACCTTTCGCAAGTTGGCCACGTTGGTGGGCCTCAGGGGAGAGTGGTTTCATCTTCTCTCCGACTCCTCCTCAATCCCAAAATTGTGGATAGATGAGTTGGTGGTCGACTATTAGGGCTTGGATTTGGGCGGTCTCGGCTGTAACTTCCTTGTTGGTCTAGCGGCAGCTGGTCTGGTGCTAGCCTTCTCCTTAGGTTTATGTAAGCGTTGGTGGTGTGTGGTGGTGCTGATGTTTTTTTCTCCTAACTATTGTCTTCCAGGGCAATAATCTTAATGTAATTTTTTTCCTACTCCATTCAATGAATCATCGCGCTGTGTGGTGCTAAACGTTCAAAAAAATTATAGTTAATGTTAATTTTCTACCCTGTCAGGTCATGCTTCAAAGCACCTGCTGGAGCTATAACTGAAATCAACTGCCACTTGAACCATTTTAATCATCAAAGTACAAATCTATAATACACTGTACACAAGAAACTAAAACACATCTAAGGACCAAGGTCGTACGGTTAACGATTCTAGATAGAAAGAAATTCTGGACCATAGGGTATAAGAACTCATTGGTTCAGTCAATCTCCTCACTCTTGGTCTGGCCATATTAGATATAGTAATGGTGGTATTCTGAAAGCTTCTTAGGGGTGTTTCGACTTAGGGGTGTAAAGTTTTGGCGTGTCACATCGGGTATTATATAGGGTGTCGTATGGGGTGTTCAGGCACTAATAAAAAAAACTAATTACAGAATCCGTCAGTAAACCACGAGACGAATTTATTTAGCCTAATTAATCATTAGCAAATGTTTACGGTAGCTCTCAGGTCACTGTGTTTTTTTATCAACAAGCACCACATTGTCAAATCATGGAGCAATTAGGCTTAAAAGATTCGTCTCGCAAATTAGTCGCAATCTGTGCAATTAATTATTATTTTAGCATATATTTAATACTTTATGCAGGTGTTCATTCGATGTGACAAGGTGAAAAATTTTAAAGTGGGATATAAACATAGCCTTAATTCTATAGTAGCCAGTAGGTCAGGTACATCTTCTTGTACGGAGGGAAAATTTTGTAAATCATTGGAAAAGCTTTCATTGGTATTAGCAAGTTTCAGAATGGAGAATACTAACCCAAGTTGGAGTCTTTCATCTTTTTATTCTGCCTCGGAGCCAGTTTCTGTCATTTTCCTTGTCCCTAAGAGCAAGTTTAATAATATATCCCGCTCCTAGCTCCAATTCATTTATAGCCAATTCATATAATAGTTGCTTACAATACAATTAATATATAGTCTTACCTATCATACACGTATTGCGTCTTGGAGTCTATGCTGCAGCTGGCTACAGCTCTGTAGCCCGTCGCTCTTCTCTCTTATTTTTATCTCATTAAAATATGTTTATAGCTGGCTAATAGTATCCTATTGTACCTGCTCTAATGTAAGAGCGCAGCGCTGTGGTACTCGTGCTCCCCTAATTTGCAGGATATTTTTTTTGGTAATGGAAATAAATTCAGACTTCGCTAAAAAGTTTTATAGCCACTTATTACACAAATTCGCTTAACAATAATCACATCCCATAGAGTTCACAAGACACACTCTGAATTTAACAATTCTCAAAACACAAACTAATAGACACCGACAAAAGGTAAATAAACCACAATTATTGAATTTTATTTGTGAATCTCCACCTAAAATTAGTGAAAATATACCTGACGATTGACTCAAGTTTACGACATGCATCTTTTATTAGCTTGATGTCAACATCTCACATTTGTAGTTGTACCCAACATCAAAGCTAATATATTATCTTGAAAAGTATTTGCATATAAGATTTTGATGGTGATTTGTCAAAAACCATATCATTAATTAAGGTCTCCTTTAGAGCAAAAGAAAAAAAATTCAAAGGGAAAAAATCCATTTAGTTTCTTTGAAACAAAGGATTGGATCTCCATAATTGCTTTGAAATTTCTGTAGAATGGCATGCACTACGTCAGAGGACATCATTGATGGGCTGAAGTGCTCGTCAAGGGACCTCACCTTTGATGGATCCATCTGTTTTCACAAATGTGTTAAGGCTGTATTCTTTCCCCCATTTTTCCAACCCACCTCTCTCGTTTTCCGCGCGCACGCTTTTCAAACTGCTAAACGGTGTGTTTTTTGCAAGAAGTTTCTATAAAAAATTGCTTAAAAATCACATTAATCCAATTTTCAAAAAAAATAGTTAATACTTAATTAATCATGCAATAAAACGAGCTTCGTTTTGCGTGCCGACCCCTCCTCCTCCCAAGTCTCTTATCAAATGTTTTTGTTAAGTCTCGGCCCGCCTCAAGTTTTCACAAATGTGTTTATGGTATTGGCATGAGACGACTTAGCGAATTGCATGGATTATGGGGAACAAACAATTAAAAGAAGAATCTATCATTGTGATCCTGAAGAATCATGAACAAGTCTTGAGGACTTGACCAACTGTTGTACTCTTTTTTCCTTGGTGAATTTTTTCCCACTGGGTTTTCTCACCAAGGTTTTTAATAAGGCAACAGGTGCAACACAATATTCAAAATGTCATGCACTTTTTTCTCCTACCTTTTTTTCCACTGGGTTTTGGGAGAAGTTTCTGACGGTACATGCGCATAATTCAAATTCGTCCAAGGGGCAGTGTTATGAAACCTATTTTATTATGTACACGAATTAAGATCTAAGTGGAAAACTTATTACAAAAGGAAGCTTACACCGGAAGAAAACCAGAAGATATCTTATCACGGAAGAAAGCTTACAGTAGAAACCGGAAGTCACCTTGCGGGAGAAGCCAGCTTACATCATAAGTTAGCTTATAGTGTAAGCCATCAACCTCCTCCGCCTATAAATAGGACCCTAAAGGTCCAAGGTGATATTGATCTCTCTGTAGCACCTCGCCTCTCCTACTGTAGTTTATAATCAAATCTAGAAGAAATAAAGCTTTCACTCTCATTTATTCTTTGTGTTCCACATAGTTGTGTTCTTTTGTTTGTGTACAATCAGTAGAATAGACTGTTTTTTTAACATAAACCACTACGTATGTATGTTTTGGAAAAATAAGAAGATAAATAAGAGATAACGATGCAAGGATATGTGCTAGCTGCAGCCTAGTAATTAATGCATTTGATTCATCCTTCTTCCTCATTGGGTGGGCATGCAACAAGGAAAAATATGTATATAATACAAACCTGAAAACTAGATGAGATAAAAAAAATAAATGTCTAAGATTTATCCACGTCAACATAAGTATTTATAATAATTTTCAGATTTTTCACTGTATATTTTATTTTCTTGCACAACACCTGCTTAGTTAGTTCAGCTAATGTTATATTAGGACTTGATCGGAAGTGCTGGCTGCAGCTGCAGCCAGTCAGCCCCAATCCAAACCAAGGGTGTGTTTAGTTCACCCAAAAATAAAAAGTTTGGTTGAAATTGAAACGATATGACGGAAAAGTTGAAAATTTAAGTGTGTAGGAAAGTTTTGATGTGATGGAAAAGTTGAAAGTTTGAAGAAAAGGTTTGAAACTAAACTCGGCCCAAAGAGTATTTGCTGCAGCTGTGAATGGCTTGCGCTGCAGCAGCCAGCACGACCGATCAAGCCCTTAGTATTTGGTTGCTGGGCTAGCCGGCTCACCTGCGTGGGCTGGGCTAACTCTTTGGATTATATTACACGTAAATATTGCATACATATTGAACAAAGATAGTGTATATTAGAAAAAAAAAATAGCATACCATTCAGCAGGTACATATATGCAGGAAATACTACTCTTATCTGCACTCAATGTATACAACTCCAATAATGCACAAGTGGACAGACATATGACATATATAATTAAGCAAAATTTATTACAGGATACTCAAAAGTGTGGTTTTTGTTCATAGTCATCGTAAGAACGTGAACTTACCTAATAACACTTCAAAAGTATGATAATTTAACACCGGACACATTAAAATACAATATACATTCAATTAATGAGAGAGAAACCACGTAAATATCAATTTTGCTCATATCTTCTTCTCTCTTCTCACATCTTATTAAAGCAACAAGCATAGATGGTGCAGTTGCTGCGGCAGCTGGAGGGCAAAGGGCATCAAAACCCGGCTGACCGTGCACGTGCCACCCCCCACCCTCCACCCCCCCCCCCTCCCCCCCACCGGTGTGAACTCACTACCTTTCAGGAGTCCAAATCCGGCAGACCTCGCATGTGCGCCCCACCACGAAGTCATCGCCACTGCATTGTTCCGCCCTGCAGCCTCGCCACGAGGTCCCCATTGCCCCCGCTACGCGTGAGGTCGCAGGCCGCGTATGCCCCGCTGCCCGCCGTGCAGTCCTCACTACTGCACCGTTCTACCGCCCAGACATGAGGTCACCACCACTACTGACATGTTTGCCCCCTGTTGTGCATGATGTCATAGGGCACTCACGCGTGCCCTGCCACCATGCCACCCCACTCCACGGTAGTAAGCGATGCACCACTTGCCGCCCGCCACAAGGTCGTCACCGCCGCGCAGTAGGTTAGTGTTGCCGCTTCCCGTGCCCCCCTTCCCCTGCCATATGCGTGTGAGAGGAATGGATGGAGGAAGAAGATAGGGGTAGCAAAGTCATTTTATATAAATTCTCTCTCCAACTCTAGTGAGAATAATAGTTTAATGGTATTAGTGCCC